CTACTCACCTCTGTTGTCATAGCGTTAAAACAGCCGTAAATAATACATAAATGAGAAAGCATGGCTGTGTTCCCATACAACTTCATCAGCATTAAAATTTGAATTTCATGTAGTTTTTATAGGTCATGATAAATTATTTTATTTTTGATTTTTTCCAACTATTTAAAAATGTAAAAACTGTTCTTTGCAGATGTTATAAGACAGATGGCCCGATGGATTTGGCCCCTGGGGTTTTCTGACTCTTATTCTAGATTTGGGAACACGAAGCCCAAAGCTTCGTACAGGTCTATAATTGCTATGATTGTTCTCCTCTGTTCAAATTCTATTCTTTTAAAAATGCTTTCAGTATCTTCATTAAGGAAACAAAAAGAGGCACTTACATTTATTGAGCACTATGTGCCTGAAATTCGGTCAGGCACTTTCTGTGCGTTAACTTAGGTCATTTTCAGAAGACTATAAGATAGGTATATTCACTCCCACTTAAAGGCGGTAAAATTGAGGCCAAGAAGAGCTAATGAGAATGTGTTCAAGGTCATAAAACTAGTGAGACTAGGATAAAACCCAGCTCTGTCTGAATCCAGAACCCTCCTGAGGGGTGGTACACACTTTCCAATGTAATAATCTGCCTCTGAGTTGGGCAACTGATAAGAAGTAATGCCCACTAGTTATCAGCTCATTCCTTGGAAATGGACAAGCTCTCGAAGGGTTAAAGTTTCAACGTATGTCTTACAACAGGCCCACAGGCTTTACATGGCATAATTAATTGCAGGTGTTCATTTTCTTGCTGGTACAAAACTCTGTGAAATTGTCATACGAAATTATAACCAGAATAATAATCATTTTTGAAATGAAAATTTTCTGAGATAAGTGGNAATCACGTTGGCTGCACCACTCATGGTAGCTTATGGCAGCCCACTGCAGCAGGGGCTGTAGCCTACGCCATCTCCAGAGACTGATGGCAGCCCAGCTCCAGGTTGAGCTGTTGTTCACCATCTTAGCTGTAGAGAGAGCAGTGTCACTGGCCCTCATGTGGGATCCGAACCGGAGTCCTGCTGCTCAGAGCCAGTGTCCCAAGCCAACTCTTAACCAACATGCCACTCAGCCAGCCCTGGCCATATTATTCTTAACTGATTACTGCTCTTACATAGAAATTTATTTTTATAAATTGCTATTATAACCAGCTACCTTATTAAACTGATCTATTCTAAAAATTTAAGCTGATTTTATAAAAAATTTCAAGCAATCACATTATTTGCAAATATAATAATTTAACCTTCTCATTTCTAATATTCATAATTTTTATTATATTGGTTAGAATGTTTAAAACACTGTTTAATGACAGCAGCATTTACAGAAACCCTTATTTTTTCTGTATTTAATGATATTCCCATCTGTAATGGGAAGGCCTTTTGGATTTTACTAGTGAGGATAATATTGGCTCCTTCCCTATGATGTATTCTTGTTACTCTTGTCTTTAAACATGTCCTTTCTCATGCTGTAATCAACAGAAACAGAGAATAGTGGCTCATCATTTCCTTCTCCACTTTAATGTTTTTCTCAGTGACTATCAGCTATTTCAGTCACAAATTGTATGCATTCTGGATTTTCCAACAGTTGATTTTAAGGAAAAAAAGGGTTTACTTTCGTTTTTGTTATTTTCTTTTTGTTACCTTTGCGGAGGANTAACCCCCAATATCATTCTATTTCCAGGTTTTATGAGTAATCTATTTCCCACGTCTTTAAGACTGGCTCTTTCTTTTCTTTTTTTCACAGCACCTACAATAATTCAGACCCTCAGCATCTCACTCATGACTTCTGTTAACAGCCTGCTAAATGGAATCTTAGATTTCATTTTATTCCAACAAAAGTTCCAGACATCTGTCAAAGTAATTTTGCGTATGTGTTGTAAATGGATTGAATTAATATTTATTGAGAACCTACTATGTTCCAGGTATACATTATCTCAATCTAAACACCACCATAGGAAGTAGGTGGGTTTTTGTTATTGTAGTATTATTATCAGCATGTCTTTATTGAGCACTTATTATGTGCAAGACACTGTGCTAAGTACTTTATTTGAATTTGTTTAATTCTTATAATAATCTTATAAGTAGGTATTATTATCAGCTCCACTTTACAGATGACACTGAAGCTTAGAGAAGGTAAATAACCAGCCCAAGGCCATACAACTTGCTAGTAAGAGAGCCAGGATTTATATCTAGATGGTCTGACTCCAGAGCCCAGGCTCAAAGCCATCGCACTATAGAACTCCAGTAGAACAGATGAGGAATGTGAGGCTCAAAGAATATTCCAGTGCTCCACCTTTCCCCAGCTTCTGATAGCATCATTTTCTCCTTACTCTGAGCAGATGACATTGTTTTCTATCTACTAGCCTACTTAGCCCTTAAATGTTGGTGTTTTTCTACACTCTATCCTTGGCCCTCTTCTCTGTTAACTCTAAGCCATGAGCTATTGACTTTTTCCGTCATGGACCCCTTTGATGATTTGAAAACATTTTGGACTTTCTCTACAGAAAAATGCACATTAATACACAAGTATCATTCAGCTTCAGGGGGCTGTGGGACCCTTTTAAAGCCCACACATGGGTCCCAGGCGAGGCACACGTGTTCTCACACATTGAAATAAGTTCTAGGTAGAGTAAAGAGCTAAAGGTATTATAAAATATAAAACAAAACAATAGAAATGCAGAAGACTTTGTTTCACATATTCTTGGCCTAGGGAAGGCCTTTCTAAGTGTGCCATCAAATGCAGAAGCCACAAAGAAACAGCCTGACAGATTTGACTTTATATAAACTTTTAAATTCTCTAAAAGGTTTTTCCAGCAGTAAAATTCTACAACTTTATGAATAGTCTATGACTATGTTAATTAAGGAGAGCACTGTTTGCAAAATAGAAAATTTCTGTGCAACATAAACTGTTCCCTTACCTCCAGTGACGATCACATTTGCTTTTACACAGTAACAAAAAGTGTTTGCTCCTTTTGGCATGGAAAACTCTCTGACAGGCCTGGGAAACACAAATTTGATGTAAAACATATATATATATTTTTATGAAGCTAATTCCAATTTATAAGTAGATTATGTTCAATAGGCTCATTTCTCAGTTGGTTATAAATCCATTTACCCNTAACACATCCATCACCTACCATAGTTACCTTTTTTTGGTGATGAGAACTTTTAAGATTTACTCTTTGCAAGTTTTAATTACACAATACAGTGCTGTTAACTGGTCACCATGTTGTAAATTAGATCCCCAAAACTTATTCACCTTATAACTGAACAATTTGTGCCCTTTTAAAACTATAAATCTTGTATATTTAATGTAATTAAAATAATAAAACATAATTAACATAATATATAGCCACTATTTTTTTTTTCGTTTATGGAAGACCACAGACTCGTGTATTCATAATTATCATGTTAGTTGCTACGTTACAGTGTTTTAACCATTTGTCTATTGATAAATGGTTCTGCTAATTCTAGTTTTTCTCTTTATTCAGCAACACTGCAATAAATAGTTATTTTATTTATGTGGTCTTTTTCTTCTTTTGGATTATTAACTGAAGATGAATTCCCAAGCATGGGATCACTATGTTAAGTGTTATCAACATTTTTATGGCTTTAAAACATATTGTTAGGTTACTCTCCAAAATGGCTGTACCAAATTTTAAGGCCATAAACTATATATGAATGTACCAGTTTCATCAAACCCTGGCCAGCACATGGCTATTATCATGATTTAAAATATTTGCTATTTTAATAGATTTAAAATGATAGTTAATTAAAGTTACATAATAGCTAATGCTAAATATTTTCTCCCATGTGTATCTGCTAATTGTATCTCCTCCTGTGAATTATTTGACCATATCCTTTAACTTACCCATGATCAGTTAACATTCTGATGATGTTAAAAATTGAAAGTTAATGAAAATTTAATTATTATACACACACACACACACACACACACACACCAGTTTCAT